CTCCTCTATCTCCCTATTCCTCTCCTCTATCTCCCTATTCCTCTCCTCTATCTCCCTATTCCTCTCCTCTATCTCCCTATTTCTTCTCTATCTCCCTATTCCTACTTCTATCTTTTTTCTTCAACCTTAGTTACAGCTTTCAACGTATTCACGTGAACATGGTCAGGATAAGCGAAGATACGAATGCTATTTTTCAGTTACCTTCAAGGTAGACGTCCCTGTTGAAGAGGCCAGCAGCCAGAGGTATGCTGCAAGAGATCAGATCACAGGATTAGCATTGATACAGTCCTGTAGATCAGCCATACTATCTCATACTATCTCACGCTATCTCATCGTTCTGAATGATGCAACGCGTATAAGCTGTCTGCTGATAACACCTTAACGACACGACAACACATCACGATTATCGTTGGTTTTTCTCGCCTTAGACGTTCGACCTGGGAGAGACGAGCAGATTCCTACGTCAAGTTGGAAAGATTTTGGCAACAGAGATGATAAAAGGAGGATTGTTATGCAGCGAGAACTGCCTCGTAACTTAAACAGCTCTGTATTACTTACTTGTCGCGTCCGGGGCGTAGGCCGACTACATACACAGCTACTGCCTGTGTTACTTACTTACATACACGGCTCTGTGCTGTGATTACTTACTGGTCCGCGCCGGGGCGGTAGGCCGACTATCACTACACCACCCATAGCAGGGCCTTTGTGGTCGAGGCATCCCAGTCCCCCGGCCACGCACCCGCCGTAACCACTGCTCGCAGCACGACCATTGCTCTACCGCCTCTTACAGCCGAAACAAACACCCCGGGGCGGCTCTGCAAGAAACAGCACGCACACAGAACGCGTCAGCACACCAGCACGATAAAGCTAGTCTTCATACTCACGCTCCATCATTAGTATATTTATACTTACTATATTATATTACCATATATATCAACAGCAGGTAGATAATAACAACATAGTGTTAAATAACACATAATGTGTTATTATCTAACTCGCTGAGGGTAGTATATACATACTAGCTTATTACCCGTCCTTTCCAGACGGGTTGAGTGGGGTATTGATTGAGTGAAGGCGTTTAACCATATTATCTCTCCCTTTTAGTTCGAGGATGCTATTTACAGTAAATCAGCTCGATATGCTAGACTCCGCAGTCATATGTCAATAATTTCTTTAAAAGATAGTATCAAACTGACTATATAAAATCTGGAAATTTTACCTTAAAATTACGAGTACAATTTTCCAAATACAGGAAACGGGGGTAATTTTCATGTAACAATTTCACTTATTTAGATATTATTTTTGCAAAATATCATTCTGGTACACGAACGCATTTATTAATTAAGCTCAAATTCTTTAAAAAAAGGCAAAAGTGCATTGAGTGTTTTGAAGAATATATGTTTCTGAAAGTCAGTGGGACGGCTGGGTTGGCAGCGCGTACACCTCCGTTGTCAAATATTTCACCACAAGTCGCACACAGCCACACACACGGCGTATGCGCAGGGGCACAATACACGCGCACCCCACGCACACACCAGTACCACATTTACACATTCACACATTACACGCCACATGCACACGCACACACACGCATAGATTAATACACACACACGTACACGCACACGCACCACACACGCATAACATACATACACGCGCACACGCAGCACCACAATGCACACCCATCTCACACGCACACACGCACACACATACACACACATACAACTGCAGCCGTAATCTCTTGGGCTTTGTCTTAAATCTTTTCGTCTCACAACTGGTGCCGTCTGTAATTGGCTGGTTTATACACCGCAGCCGCAATGTCTTTGGTTGTGTGCGTAGCGCTACGCGCGCGGCGGATGCGTGCTGTGCGCGCTGCGTCCGTCCCCGCGCTGCGATCGCTCCTTGCCGCCGTTTAGCGTTCGTCGGCTTGCTATGCTAGGCTGAAGGGTCCACCTAATTAAATGACTTATTATTATACCTTAATCTACATTTAGCTATAGCTCCCCATTATCATTAAAAACCCGCTGAGAAAACACGTTTAATAGTCCTTGTAACCCACAATTTCAAAACGTTATGTATCACTATAGGGGTGTATTGTTGTGTGCTCTCTTAAACAATCGAACCCTGTCAAAAAATGTCAGCGCACCCATTAACCACAGTTTACACACACCACGGCGCGCGAAACACCACCACACCACGCAGCCACGCCACGCACAGCACACGCACACATACATACAGCACCACACCACACACACACACACACACACCACCACCAGCGCACACACACACGCACACCCACACCGCATACACACACACACACCCTCACACCACACACACACAGCAGCACCATGTTCTCTTCACCACACCACACACCATCACACACACCAACATACAGATACATACATACATGCTACCAAGTTGCTACACACCACGCCACACACAGCACGGCGCACACACACACACCACACACACACCACCACACCACACCACACACACACAGCACACACACACACACACACACACACATCACCATACATACATACATACATGTACAGTTTGTCACACACCGCGCGCACACACCGTGCACGTCGTGCGCGGCGATAGCCAGGTGATTCAGACATGCTGTGATTGACTGCGCATGCGGATTTGGCCATTGTAAAATTTTGGCGCTGCTGTGCTTTTGCGATGAGAGCCACGTCAACATCACAAGGTATTACACGTACTCTGCTTGGACTGCATGCGCATGCGGCATTTTACCGATCTCCTAAACAGTGGGTGCGCGGTGTTTCGCCGTATGAGTGCCCGAAGTTCCTACGCTGCACATTGAACTTTTACGAAACTTGCCTGAAAAAGTCACTTTGTAACGTCGGAAAAATCGTCGTCGGTGTTAACGCTAGCGGAATCTGTAGTGTGCGTAGTGTGCCAGCAAGGGCCCAGCTCTTAGTTCGCGCGCAGCACACGCGGCTCGACGGTCTCGAGCCCTGGCGGTCCCTCGGTCATGCGTGCGGCGGCCTGCCCGCCCTCGGGGTTTTACCTGTCTCCGCTCGCCGGGCGCCTGTTTCCGCGATTGCGGAGATACGTAAAACGACACTTTCGGTCCTCCTCCACCTAATTATATAGTAGATGGTAATGCCAACGACTGCAGGCATTGATAACCTGCCCACATGCAATACGTGTATCCAGGAAATCGTGGTCGTTCGCTATATATATTATTATATATATATTACTATACATGTCGTGTGTGCTCGCTTGGTGTGTGTGTGTATGTATATATATGGTAAAGCTAAGGATTGCACTGCTACATGTACGTACAGTGTAGGAGGGAATCCTTCCCTTGTCGCTGGAGTCGTACACATATATATACGCACCGTGTGTCGGCCTGTAATGTATACTACTCACTACTGTATGTGTACTGTATCATATATACTATGATATCACTTACATTGTGTGTTCGTAGTAACTATACTAATGTAAGCTAAACGGATTGCATCTGCGCTACATGTACGTGACAGTGTATGATGGGATCCTTCCCTTGTCAGCCTGGAGTCCCCGCCTACACCCATCATCATTACCACGTCTGTGCATCTAGTAATCCTTAATATATATACTATCCTATTTACTATATAATGTTATAGTATATAACATTGTGTGTGTGTGTGTGTGTGTGGTTGTTGTGCTATGGCGCATATATATGGTAAAGCTAAAGATTGCACTGCTGAGACAGTGTTACGTCACAGAGCCTGTAGGAGGGGAATCCTTTCCTTGTCGCTCGGCAGGTCGCTTCACAGCGGGCTTTCCTGGCGTACCATCTCGTGCGCGCGCGTGNACACATACGCACGCGCACACACGCACACACGCGCGCCGCACACACACACACGCGCACACACATGCACACGCGCGCGCGCACACTAACGCACACACGCATACACACACACACACACACACACGCACACACACACACACACACACACGCACACACACACACACACTCACACACACACACACACACACACACACACACACACACACACACGGGTTCG